TTTTTCTTTTGAGCAATAACTTCACCTCCTAACATTACTATTTGAACGGCTGCTGCTTTTCTAAATAATTCCAATGTTCCATCATCAATTTTATCTTTCCATAATAATTCTGCTTTTTCATTAGCTTCTTCATATTGAATATCTTCACTTCTTATTAGCTCTTTTGATTTCCAATATATAAAAAGTGCTTGTGCCATTTCTTCAACATCTTCATTAATTTCTTTTTTCTTTTTTAATTTTTTATCTTCTTTATTTCTATAATATATTTCTTGTTCAATACCAAATTGATAAGGTTCTATCTCAGAGTTGAAACTCATTGACTAACCTTCATACAGTTACTTTGAACCCTTTTCTTTTCTTCCCTTATTCCTTTTTCTGATATTTAGTTTACTATTATAAATAGTTAAAAACTTATATTTTTATTATTTTCTTTTTGACAGGTATTTTACCCTTCCTTTTTTCCCTTTTTGCAAGTAAAAAGCCATCAGAGATGTTTTTTATTTCATTAATTTGGGTTCATTAAGGTTTAATTAAATTCATCTTTTAAGTACTAGTGTAAAGGGAGATTTAATAGTATCTAAAATAAATTAAGATTTGATCAAAGAGTATTAATTTAATTCTAATTTGATATAATAAATACATACTATTGACTTCCAACCCCTCTTTATAATTCTCTTTAAATTCCAAAACTATTTCTTGATTTTTGAATGTGTATTTTATTTAGTTTAAATTTATTATAATTACAATTTTATTTAAAATTTAATTTTTTAAACCGAAATTAATTTATTTTCAAATTAGATAGTCTTTCATTTAATATCTGTTTTTTTAATCCAAAGAACAATATCTTTTAGTTCTGTTAGGACTGTTGCATTAAGTGTTGAGAGAGTTTAACATAGCCATAATAAAAAAAAATGAAATTAGTCTATAATTTCTAAATAGAAAGCCAAGTGATTGTTTTATTATAAGAATTGTTTTTCAAAGAAAATCAGAAAAAATACCACTAAAAATTACTTTTTCAATGAGCATGGGAAGTACCACATTCAGGCCTAAAGACCGCCACAAAAATAAGAAAAATGGAATGTTTGAATTATTTAAAGGACAAAAGCCTGAGTCAAGAAGTGTTCCACAGCAATTGTCTGAAAGGGCAATGACAGCAACTGATATAGAGTCAATACGATCACATGAACCACTATTACTTTTCAGAAAGAGTGAATCACATAAACCTCAATTTCGGTTAAAGACACACACATTTGATGGGGTCCCATTAATATTAGAAAATTCATTTAGATTTATTGAGAAGGTAACACGGGAAACAAAAGCAGTAAAACCATATTCTCAAATGACTGAACTAGAATTATATGAATTTATTACTAAATTTGGAGAAGAGAAATTGACAAAATATGTAAAAGAAAAACAATTAGGAAAAGACATTAAGAGAATTTCATTAGAGAAACTTATTAAATTAGGGATTAATGAGAAAAAAGCTATTACTATCCAAAATTTTATTATTAATTATGAAAACAAATCAAAAATTGGTAAGCATATTTTACTTATGAAAGTTAATTCAGATAAGGCTTTAAGAAAAATGTTTGAATTAATGAAGGGTTATGAAGTAAATGAAATAAAACAATTTAATGAAATGCCAAAAGATGAAGCTCATTTAATTGCTTTTATGGCAATTAGAACATTTTTTGCAAAAAAACAACCTATTTTAATAAATGAAAAGAAAGCACATGAGTTATTTGAAGCATATAATCAACATAAAAATGATGAAATTCAATTAATGAATGAAGTTAAAAAATTTATAGGAAGTCTTGAACAAAATGGAGTTATTCTTCTTCGTACATTAAAATTTATTCACAGAATGATTTCTGATGATAAAGGTTGTTATTATTATTGTAAAGAATTATTTCTTCGTACTATGTTCTCTTTCTTCTATGAAGGTGATTCTATTAAAATTCCTAAATTTTATTTTCTTATTGATTTAATAGATAGGTTAATACCAGTTTGTTATTTAATATTCTTTTATTTAAATTGTTTATTTAACAAGATCACTTATTCTTTAGAAAAAAACTCAAAGTAAATTGGAAAGAGTTTTTGAATCAGATAGTCTTTATGGTGGAGAAGTAATTTTATATATTGAACAACCAAGTAAAATTCCATTATATATGATACTTAATCAAGAACAATTAAATAAAGAATGTTTAAATACTTGGGTTGGAGGAAAACTTTATTTAACGAATTATCGATTAATATGGAGGACATCAAATGAATCATTAGGTTCAATGGCACAATGTTATTATTTTAATCAAGTTCCATTGAAAATGATTTTTGAAGCAAGTACTGTATCAGGAAATGGTAGTAATTCATCTCAATGTCCTCATTGCATTAAAATTATTTCAAGAGATAATAGAGTATTACTTTTTTCAATGGAAAATGAACAACGAGTAATTTCATTTAAAGAACGATTAATTTATATAGCAAATAAAGTAAGAAATCAAACAATGAAAATAGATGACTATGAACAGTTTTATTTTAAAAATATTTTTGAAAATATTTGGGAAAAAACTGCAATAAGATTTGGAGTGGATATTAAATCACCAAATTCATTATTTTGTGTTCAAAATAATTTAAAAGATAGAAATAGATGTAGTTTTGAAGGAATTACTTTTAGACATTATCAATTAATTGATGAAACACACTTACAAATGGA